CATTTATTTATAGTTTTTTTTTTTTTTTTTTTTTTTAGTACGGTTTTCTCTTTCTATTTTTTTATTTATATATCACAGAATGTTGGTAGTGGGAGACACTTTATACACTATACTTGATATATGAATTATGCACTAATATATGAGTTTTATTAATAATATTTATATATATATATATATATATATATATATATATATATATATATTGTGTATATATATATATTATTATATATATATATATTATATATATATTGTGTTTTACTCTATTTGAGTCTGTATCTCGAGATTGTGATCTAAAAGTTATAGCATGTTTTGAATTTTATCGACATTTGCAGCACCAAAGTTGTGGTATCAATTCACATAGAGCATCACATTTTTATATATTTTTTTATAAGATTGTGCTGCATCATACTTATATTTATTTTATTTTGTAGACTGAGTTTACTGTTGTAGGTTTAGTAACACTTTAAGCTGTTTAGTCATTGGTGTGTAATATAAATAGAAGCAGTGCATCCGGATCAACCGCAGTAAAACCCCATGCTGTCTGGGTGGCTTATAATGTTGCTTCGGGCACTGGATCCTGCATGGGCACTCACCTTTGCAATTAGTGCTGTGTGTGTTGTCAGTCACAGGGTGTTAAGCAGGGTCAGAGCTGTGGACTATCCTTGTGAAACCCAGTCCATGATGACCCCTTCGGGTGTAGACCCACCATGACAGATGAAGCCTAGACTTTATACATACTCCAGGGTCACCCCGTATCTCTGACCGTTGCGCTGAAAACTAAGGCTATGTTTGTAATGCATTCACTTCACAGTGTAACCTTTTCAAGTTGGTGCTAAAATTCAACCACGTAGAGCTTAATCTAAGCCTTTCTCCACAAGGGTTTGTTACAGGGATGTCAACACCTGTTTTGCTACATACCCTTTCGGATATGTTTACCGTATATTTCTCACCCTACTTTGTGAACACCGCACAGGGGAATACCCTCCCTTGTAGCTATGGCAGAAACCAGGTGAAAGGAAGCCTCAGATAAACTTGAGATGAACATTCACCCTGCTTCCTTTGCACCGGAGCAGGAACCGATTTTAACTCTGGTTTCAGGATCCAATTCTAACTCAACAAGCCTGAGGCCCTACCTGAGAAAAGCAGATTTTTTTTTGCTTTTGTGTCACAATTCCCCTGACAACTAACAGCCTTAAAGTAGTTGTAAAACCTTCCTTATAACCACTGAAGTGACTTCCCTCAGGTGATACAGAGATGAAACAAATTCTCTCACAGGAGTTGTAGTTGTTTATCTGTAGCTATTTCTTCTCTACAGCCAGTTTACACAGCAGTTCTGAGCTTCAGGGGGCAGGGATCCTACATTACATCAAAGAGGAGAGAGCTGAGTGTAATCTGAGACCTGGGTGTTGGGAATTGACCCATCCCCTCTTCTACACAATCTCATAGGGGAAAAAAGCACTACATTCTGTGTAATTGTAGTCTGGGTGAAGAACCTTGTGCTGAGGACTGCGGCTGTTAATTTACTATGACATTGTATAACACTGTACTGTGAGGCTAACAGCAAAAGGCGAAATACCTGAAAAAAAAATATTTTAGCATTTCACACTACCAGAAGTGTTGTCTGCATCCCTTGGTGTGGGCTGTGGTTCCTCTTTCCAGTCTCCACGTCACTGTTAAGGGCTGTAAGCACTGTCAGGAGGGACCACAGCATGCAAAGAGGGTGCAGGCCTTCAACACTCTCAGAAATTTACAAGTTTTGCTGGAGGGTGTCCCCGATTTGAAGACACTGGAATTAGAACTCTCTGCCCACCATAGAAGTAATTCTACTCTTCTTTTATTTCAGGAGCAATGCTTTCTATTTTTTTCTGGCTTTTAGGGAAGAGACAAAGTTGTTTTAAAATGGTTCTAAAGGCTTAAGGTATTTTATACCCCAATGCATTCTCTGGTAAAAAAAAACCTTCTGTGTGCAGCTCCCCCCCAGCCCACCATTCCCACTTATACTTACCTGAGCCTGATCTCCATTAAGCACTGTGCTCAAGAGCGGCGTCACTGTGCTTCTAAGAGGGCAGATTGATAGCAGCTGGAGCCATTGCCTCCCGCTTCTGTCAATCAAATCCTGTGACAAGGGAGTTTGGGCAGGGGCTGAGAAGGGTAAGAAAAACATGTTTGTTACTAAAAAAAAAATAGAAAGGTTTACAATCACTTTAACCCCTTGCCCTCTTGAGGATTTACCCCCCTTCCTGACCAGGCCCTTTTCCTGCATTACGGTGCTGCGTTACTTTAACTGACAATTGCGCAGTCATGCAACGCTGCACTCAAATGAAATTTATGTCCTTTTTTTTTCCCCACGAATTGAGCTTTCTTTAGGTGGTATTTGATCGCCTGTGCAGTTTTTTATTTTTTGTGCTATACAAAAAAAAAAGACTGACAATTTAGAGACAAAAAACAATATTTTTTACTTTTTGCTATTAAACATGTCCAGTAAAAAAAATTAAAAAATCTAATTTTGTCATAAATTTAGGTCAAAATGTATTCTGCTACATGTTTTTGCTAAAACAAAATCCCAATACGTGTAAATTAATTGGTTTACGTAAAAGTTATAGCATTTACAAATGGTGGAATATATACTGGGATTTTTTTTAGTTTTACTAGTAATGGCGGTGATCAGTGAATTATAGCGGAACTGTGGTGGGCACTCTGACACTGGGGGGAACTGACTTGGTGTCACTGACATCCCCAGTGACACCAATATAGTGATCAGTGCTAAAGAAAAAAAAAGCACTGACACTGTACTAATGGCACTGGCCAGGAAGGGGTTAACATGAGGGGCAATCAAAGGGTTAACTGTGTGCTGCTTTACTGTAAGTTGTGTCCATGTGCTTCACTGTAAACACACTGCTTTACATGGCTGTGCAGTGCACAGTCATCCAAAGCAGTGTGCACGAGCTGACAGGGAGAACTGTTTTGTTTACAAACAGTTCTCTTCCCCCTGAGATGCTCGTGAATCACGGGTGCTGGCGAGTAATCACTGGCCGGGACCCAGTGATTGACGACCGTGAATGGCGGTGCGGGTAGGATGCGCACACACCTCGGGTGCACCCTCTACCTGGAGATGCAAAATCATGTATGCATACGTGGTTTTGCGCACACCCCTGCTGCCCAGTAGTAGTATATCTGCTATAGGGCGGTTGGGAAGCGGTTAATAAAGCAGGTTGCTGAATGTGAGGAGCAAAATAGATTTTAAAAAAAAGTTTATATTAAATAGGATGTTCAGATTTTTTAATATGTTGCCACTATCACATACCCAACCATATGATTGTAGAAGGTGATCTGCCTTTCCACCCGTCAGAGCAAAACTCTCATTCCACCACTGTTTGCAATCACTTAGGAGAGCTGATGTTTTTCTCCATCTGCAGTGATAAGTTTGTAATGCTCATTTATGTGATTGATCGTGATTTTACAAGATTGGCAGAGCCTGAGATGGTAAGGGTCTGGGACACAAGCTGCATAAAAAAAATTGAATGCAAGACACGCATGTATCCTCTGTTTATACTCTTATACTATTTTTATTTGTTAATCATTAAATGAGTACAATATACATTGTTCAAATAGCATCAAAGGCTAACAATATTGATCAAAATTTTAACATAAGTGGAATGTAAAGTTGCTTTGGAACTGTACTGCACTGCAATGCTACACATTGTGAATCCTTGCAACCTTCTTTCCTGTACTTGTTTTACATGCAAATCACAAAGCAAAAGCTACCAAAAGTACAAAGCCTAATGCTGTCTGAGTATTAACTAGTTCAGAACTACTCCTTGCTTGAAGGGTAAGTTCACCTTTTGCTTTAAAAATAATAAATGCACTTTTTTTTGCTGGTAAAAAAATTACATTTATTATATTTTGTTGCGGGAGCCTTTAAACCAATGCACCAACCATCAGCAGATAACTGGTGCCATTCAGGTCTTCAGCAGATCTGTCTTATATCTGCTTGCCGTTACGAGACATACCCCGTGTGGCCGGATTTTTTTTTTTCAATCTGAGAGCTAGCAGGGGAGAAGATCCCCCGCTAGCTGTCAAAGCACAGGGAGTGGGGGCCGGTGTATTCATAAAATGTCCTAAATATGGATGTAGCATGAAACATATTATGAAAGGTGAACTTATCCTTTAAGACCAGCATTTTCATAAATGCATTTAACTAAACTAGTGAAAATGCAAAAAAAAAAAACATATAGCAGCAAATGAATTTATAATACTTCAAAACTAGAAGCATCCTAAGGGCTCATTCACACTTGACTAATTTCTAACTCTTACCAAACGCCCCTATAGCATTAGACAGGCATTTGAGAAGCATTTTAAATGCTCCCCAAGCGCCCTATGCACGTTTTTGAGGCGTTTGATAAGCGTTTGCCAAGCGTTAAAACCGCACCACATACGCTTATAATGCTTAAGCTTAATGCCTGTCAGGCGTTTGAGGAGCGTCACCATAGACTTGAATGGGAGGCTTCAACTCCTCCTGACTGGACATGAGGCGTCAATTTTGCTGTGACATTAACGCTTCAGTGTGAACAGCACTGTGCTGCCATGTGTAGAATTTTGCTGCCATATAGAATTTTCATAGGCGTTTGAGAAGCGTTAAAAACGCTTCCGAAAGGTCTGCTAACAGAGCTAGTGTGAACTTCGCCTAAGAGGCAGGTATCAAAGCTCTTACAGAAGACCAGTATTTTACCCAAAAATGAAAACATAAAGCTGCCAGAACAATTTTTGGGACCTGCATGTTAATGTCAGATTGGACTGACTGGTCCCTGAGCATTGTATTACTTTGTTACCCTCTGTCAGTAGTGCTTTACTACCAGCACAACGCTGAAAACTGTCTTTCTGGCTCTTGATCGGTGATTGTTTGCACATCGCTTGTGTGCAGCTTTTCTGTGTGAAATACCATTTATTTTAACAATTACTGATATTCCAGTTTTTATTATATGTACATTATTTCTTTGCAGAACCCTCAGAGCATTGCTTTTTTTTCAAGCTCCTTATTCGGTGACTACAACAGTGCTAGTTCCCCTGGGAGTGCCAATGACCTGACAATGCTCCCACACCTTGCAGATCTGGTCAGCTACAGCATACAGAAAGTCATTGGGTTTGCCAAGATGATACCTGGATTCCGGTAAGAGCAACAAATAATTAAAGCAATGGTGCTTTTTTTATATTTAAGCATTTAGCAAACATTAACAGATAGAGTGCATTAAAACTAATCTATGTTGTATTTGTGTGGGGACTTAAGGATAACCCAGAAAATACTACAGAGAATGGTGAAAACTGAAGTATTTGCTGCTGTAGCAGGCACAGACTGTAACCCTCCCCTGTGACCCAGGAGTCTTGGAGGTAGGAATTGGCAGGGACAAGGCTGGGGTTGCATTAAAAGTGGAATTCAAGGGCTAGAACGAACTAATCTTAAAACTGCTTACACCCCTCTTCTAACACTTTTACCGACTACCCTGTAGAAGAAAGATGTGCATACGTACCTATTCTCAGGGCGCTTTAGTCCAGTTACATGATCTCCCCAGCAGCCAGCTTCAGGAAAGAGGAGGAGAGAGCACGGACAACTGATGAAATGCCTGCCATAGGGGCATCTGTTGTCGGCTGTCCCTACTGTACCCTGAAGATAGCCCCTGGTAGGCGATCACATGACTGGAATGCAGGTCCCGGAGAGTAGCTAAGTATAAGCATCTTCCTTCTACAGGGTAGATAGTATAGGTGTTAGGCAGTGGGAGCAGTTTTAAATGTAGTTTCAGCCTTGAATTCCACTTTAATTGTCAGTAATGTTCAGCAATCCTGTTTTCTAACTTATCCCTGTGGTGGTGATGCCATACTGAAGGTGAAAAATTGCAGGGGTATTTACGGTTCATTATATTTTTTATTGAAACTTTCCTTCTTACCCTTTTGATATTGCAGATACCATTTACATTGCCTTGAAAAAGTATTCATACCCCTTGAAATTTTCCACATTTTGTCATGTTACAACCAAAAACGTAAATGTATTGCATTGGGATTGTATGTGATAGACCAACACAAAGTGGCACATAATTGTCAAGTGGAAGGAAATCGATAAATGGTTTTCAGTATTTTTTACAAATATCTGAAAAGTGTGGCATGCATTTGTATTCAGCCCCCTTTACTCTGATACCCCTAACTAAAATCTAGTGGAGTCAATCGCCTTTAGAATTCACGTAATTGGAAAGAGTATGGGACAACTGCAAGCCTACCAAGACATGGCTGTCCGCCTAAACTGACAAGCTGGGCAAGGAGAGCATTAATCAGAGAAGCAGCCAAGCAGTCTCATTGATGCTGGTTAAAGCCGGCTATACATGGACTGAAATTCATCTGGTGCAGTAGGGACCGGACGAATTTCAATCCATGGGTAGGCTGATTTCACCCAAGTTGAATCATCGGTCAACTTGGATACAGCCAGCCTGTGTGATTTTTCTGCATGTGATTATTGCCAGCGACTATAGCCACTAGCAGTAATCATTATATTCTGCCGGCCAGAAATGTTCAACCCCCCCCCTATACGCACACACACGCACACGCGCGCACACACACACACACACACACACACACACACACTTCTTCCCTATGGGTTGCGTAAGGTTTGTGGGATACCATAGACAGCCTGAACTTTCCCAGATCCATTTGAAATTGGCAGGAGCACGTAGCAACCACCTAATTTCTGAATACCCGATGTTTGTTGACCAAAGCAAAGGTAATAGTAGTAATGTGTTTTGTTTTGAAATGTAGTGACCTCACTGCAGAGGACCAGATTGCCTTGTTAAAATCATCCGTTATCGAAGTTATAATGCTGCGATCTAACCAGTCATTCTCCCTGGATGATATGTCCTGGACATGTGGCAGTGAAGACTTTAAGTACAAAGTTGATGATGTGACACAAGGTAAAATCAGTTTGTAAAGGGTATTTCCCAGCCTGCATTGCCATTCTTTTGATGAGTTCTCTCTTCCACAAGTATCCTCTCATTTTTGTTTGGACAATGATGGAGCAGGCTGTTGCATATTTACACTTAAAGCATTTTCTATATCCTTACTGTATGTTCAGCAATCTTTCATTCACCTGTACTTAGAGTGAAAGGAGATGATTGCTTGAGGAACCTCATGAAGCTGGATCTTTAAATTAAAGTGACACCAAATAATATCCTGTGTGCATAGTATACTTCATCCAAAACTAGTTTGTTTTCCTTAACTTATTGATTCATTTTCCTATATACTTAAAGCAGTGTGTATTGCATTGCAGGTTCCCTATTATTAGATGTGGTGGCTGCATTCGTTTTCTTTTTTTCACTTGGCGATTTGTCCAATATTTCAACTTACTTTTACAGACCAAGCTGTCCAAAGAAACAATGAGTGTGAATTCACACATGTGCGGTGCGAATTGAAGCTCCATTTTCACAGCTAATTGACATGGTGGTAGTTCAGTGGTTCAAGTCAGGTTTTCATCAGGATCAGGGGAGAAAACCAACCTGAAATCGTGTTCACAAACTTATGAGATGTGCGATTCAAAAGCGGTTCCCAAAAAAGTCAATGCACCTGTAATCCGCACCTGAGCTGAACCGCACTCCTGAGAAATCGGACAGGACTCTTTTTCAATCCGCACTGCCAGTGAACCAGATATATGAAAAGGCACCATAGGAAACAATGTTATTTTGCACGTTATGTGGATTGGATGCCATTCAAACCGCATCCAATCCACATATATGTGAACTGGCTCTTAGAGGGCTAAGACAAACTGTTTACTATTGACAATGGTGCTTACAATGGTCGGCTTTTATTAATTTATGTAAAACCTTTAGGCCCAAAGGAAAATAAATGAAATGGTCTTAAACAACAACATACTAAGTACTGTAAGCTGTTATACTGTTTATAATTTTTTTGTTTTGGTATGGTGTAACTGTCAAAACCATGGATCAGTTTTTAACCAAGTCCTATATGTTGCTTGAGTGATTACCAATAAAGAGTCCTGTTAAAGTGAGATTATGTGATAATTTATTATATTGACACAGTTGTACTTTCATTGCTGCATGTAAATGGCAGGTGCTCTGCAGGAGCTCTGTAAAGCTGCTAATAACTTGGATAGCTTGAAATTATTGCCTCTGTTACTAGGATTGCCTTTGTAGACTCTGCAGTAGTCTAATGGTGCTGACCAGACAATTATTAGTCAGGTAATTTATTCTGTTGCAGTTAATTGTTCGTTCAGAAGATATGAAGAACACACAGTCTACCGATAAGGGCTGCAAACATATGTTGGGCAGCCACCTAGTACTCTAAGCACTATTTGTTCAGTGATTCATTTAACGCATATATGCCAAGTGTCCAACTAGCTTGTCATTAATGACTTGATAGGCCTAGTTGAGCTTGATGGAATATAGTTCATCATTTTGTGCCCACACACGTTTAAAATTTTGTCTATATTAACAATTAAAGGCTAAGTTTGCCTTTGAGGAAAAAATAAAACATGCACATATTTTTGCAGGAAAAAAAACGTACATGTATTATTTTTTCTGCATTGAGGCTGCAAAGTATTGCCCCCACAAGCTACCTAATGTACAATCCACATAATTAACATATAATAAAAACAATCGTAGTCAGAAATTGTAAGAGAAAAATTAGTTACTACAATATACAGTGAAGGAAATAAGTATTTGATCCCTTGCTGATTTTGAATGTGTGCCCACTCACAAAGAAATGATCAATCTAAAAATCGAATGGTAGGTGTATTGTAACACTGAGAGACAGAATAGCAACACAAGATTCAAAAGAAATGCACGTCTAACAAATTATGCACTGATTTGCATGTTAATGAGGGAAGTACGTATTTGATCCCCTATCATTCAGCAGGATTTCTGGCTACCAGATGTCTTTCATACAGGTAACAAGTTGAAATTAGAAGCAGTCTCTTAAAGGGAGTGCTGCTAATCTCATTTTGTTACCTGTATAAAAGACACCAGTCCACAGGAGCAATCACACAATCAGATTCCAAACTCTGCACCATGGCAAATACCAAAGAGCTGTCCAAGGATGTCAGGAACATGATTGTAGACCTACACAAGGCTGGACTGGGCTACAACAGTTGGTGTAATCATTCGCAATTGGAAGAAATACAAAACAACTGTCAGTCTCCCTAGGTCTAGTGCACCATGCAAGATCTCACCTCGTGGAGTGTTAATGATCATGAGAACAGTGAGGAATAATCCCAGAACTACACGTGAGGATCTTGTCAATGATCTCCAGGCAGCTGGGGCCACAGTCACCAGGAAAACAATTGGTAACACCCTACACCGACAAGGATTGAAATCCTGCAGTGCCTGCAAGGTCCCTCTGCTCAACAAAGCACATGTCCAGGCCTGTCTGAAGTTTGCAACTGAACATCTGAATGATGCAGAGGAGGGCTGGTTTAAAGTGTTGTGGTCAGATGAGACCAAAATTGAGTTCTTTGGGATCAACTCAACTCGCCATGTTTGGAGGAGGAGGAGGAATGCTGCCTATGACCCCAGGAACACCATCCCAACTGTCAAACATGGTGGTGAAAACATTCTGCTTTGGGGGTGTTTTTCTGCTAAGGGGACAGGACAACTGCACCCCATCAAAGGGACGATGGACGGGACAATGTACCGTCAAATCTTGGGTGAGAATCTTCTTCCCCCAGCCAGGGCATTGAAAATGGGTCGTGGATGGGTGTTCCAGCATGACAATGACCCAAAACACACGACCAAGGCAACAAAGGAGTGGCTCAAGAAGAACATTAAGGTCCTGCAGTGGCCTAGCCAGTCTCCACACCTTAATCCGATTGATAATCTGTGGAGGGAGCTGAAAGTTCGAGTTGCCAAACGTCAGCCACCAAACCTTTATGACTTGAAAGGATCTACCAAGAGGAGTGGGCCAAAATCCCTCCTGTGATGTGTGCAAACCTGGTGGCCAACTACAGGAAACGTCTGATCTCTGTGATTGCCAACAAGGGATTTGCCACCAAGTACTAAGTCATGTTTTGTGAAGGGGATCAAATACTTATTTCCCTCATGAACACGCAAATCAGTGCATCATTTGTTGGCCATGCATTTCTTTAGAATTTTTTGTTGCTATTCTGTCTCTCAGTGTTACAATACACCTACCATTTGATTTTTAGACTGATCATTTCTTTGTGAGTGGGCAAACATTCAAAATCAGCAAGGGATCAAATACTTATTTCCTTCACTGTATACCATTCCAAATTGTACCTCAAAGCACATCTAAACCCTTGAACAAAAATTTAATATATTTCAGCTTACCAGTTAAATGTTATGACTGCATTGTTTTTTTTTTTTTTTTTTATACTTTTAGTTTCACCTTGTGATCCTGCCAGTAACACGCTTCCTCTCTGCACTCACTCACTGTACTGTATCTATAGCAGCCTTGATACCCTATGACACAACACCTTCCCCATTTTCATCACCATAAGATATTTGGGGGGGGGGGGGGGGGGGGGGGGGGGGGGGGGTTGCAGTCCACAGAGATAGCTGGGAACAGGGTAAGTGATGAGAGTGCAACACAGGCAGAGAACACAGGAGGCTATTTGTTTACAAAACTTCCTACAGGATCAACATTTGCTTATCACTGAAATCTATGTAATCTTGGTTTAACTATGAAGGGATGGTGGACTATTATTTGAAATCTTCATATGATGGGAGTGCACAGAGTAAAATAAAAGGATTTGTGTTGAATTTATATTTGCAACTTTTGGAAAACCGTATTGATCAGTGACTGTTTTGGTAAATAAGTATACATATTTGTCCTCTGAACTTCATTGACCACAAAATATCAGATGTTACTTATCATTTCAGTCTTTAAATATCCACTTCTTTCAACTTTGAACAGCCAGACTATATTTAAGGCCAGATTAATGTGTGCATGTTGGGAAATTCTTTTATTCATCTGTAAGCAGACACAGACTTCTTCAAAACCTTTGTGTCCATTGCACTGTGTATTTACTAGGATGTCTGTTATTGTTTTGCAATAACTATGTTTGATGGGAGAACCAACAAGAAAAAAAATGAAACATTGAAAAACAAAGGGATCTATAATTATATTAAATCACTAAACTAAAAGAAGAATGTGCACCAGTACATCTTTTATTTGGTTTTCTAGAAACCAGCGCACTCTCGAGTAAAACTGTAGTGATGTGAATGTACAATATATATGTAAAGCACTGCATAAATTGACAGCGCTATATAAGTACCTGTAATAAAAAAATAAATAGTATGGTGGGCAATACGCCATTATTGCAGCTCTGTCATTTATGGAAGCTTTTGTCATTTGTAGCTGGTCATAACATGGAGCTCCTGGAGCCTCTGGTAAAATTCCAGGTGGGGCTGAAGAAACTGAACCTACATGAAGAAGAACATGTCCTCTTGATGGCCATTTGTATTCTTTCACCAGGTCAGTCATCAATGTGGAGACTATTAAAATATTAGTAGTGCCTGGGCCTGAGTTGAAGAACATCAGTAACAACATATTTGGCACAATTGTATTTATAAACCATACATGTAAGAATGTAAGATTTTTAGTAAATTAAAGATTGGAAGAGCAGCTGGCTGCTTGCCACTGAGCAGCTGACTGATTGCTAACTTAAAATCACTATAAATAACCTAATTGCATATTGGCACCATAAAATGAAATGGCACTTTGACAATGAAATATCATTTTAAAAAGAACCATCATATTCTTATAAGGGTATGAACCTTCTGTATAATGAGGATTGGTATAGCCTGCACGCGTCTTCCCGAATAATAAACTTTATTGAGCGAGTAAAATGTGCTTGACGATATGCATAAGCCATTTTATATGTACATTTTACTCGCTCAATAAAGTTTATTATTCGGGAAGACAAGTGTCGACTATACCAATCCTCATTATTCATTTGCATCTGTGCTGGGGAGTGACACAGCCAGAGCACCTACCTTCCACCTCCATGGGGATTATCTCTGGGCGTAGCACCTATATGTACATTCTGTAATTAGATTCATGGGAACATCTGCTGTAGAGAGAGTAGCAGGGAGGTCTAGGTCCTTTTCAAGATGCTCACTGTGTGCATAACGGCTGATCTCAGTTTGCAATCATTGACTGAAATGGTTAATGTTATGACCTTGAAAGAGCCCTCTTAGAAATTATGTCTATTAATTGTTTTTGTAGACCGCCTGGGTGTGCAGGATAAAGCACTGGTTGAAGCCATTCAAGATCGCCTCTCTTCTATCCTTCAAACATACATCCTCTGCAAGCATCCTCCTCCAGGAAGTCGACTCTTGTACCCTAAGATGATCCAGAAACTGGCTGACCTTCGCAGCCTAAATGAAGAGCATTCCAAACAGTATCGCTTCATCTCTTTCAAGCCAGAGCATAGCACGATGCTGACTCCACTAGTGCTTGAGGTCTTTGGCAATGAAATCTCTTGAGTTTGATATAAGACTTTAATTTAGAAAATGTGAGTAATTTGGTGTATCCAAGTTAAGCTGGATCTTAATTCTGTTTTCTTCTATGGGAAATAACTGGGAGTTCTTTTTAATCAGAAGATGATTAGTGTGCCACTGTATATAGTACATACTATTTTAAAAGACCTACATGGATTAGCTTGAGTGGAATGGTTATAGTGCTTTCTTTAATTCTGCTACAAAAAGGGGTTAACCTCCTTTGCCATGCTGTTGATGTAATGTACCAATCTTACAATGCTTTGCCATGTTGTGTGCCTTCTAGACAGTTAGGGGTTTATTTACTAAAGCTGGAAAGTCCAAAATCAGACTCACTTCTGCCTAGAAACCAATCAGCTTCCAGGTTTCATTGCCAAAGCTTCATTGAACAAGCTGAGGTTGGAAGCTGATTGGTTTCTATGCAGAAGGGAGTCATTTTGGACTCTCCAGCTTTAGTAAATCCCTTAATGTCAAATCTTGTAAACTTGATATTTTGGCCTATATGGGCTCTCTTCTATTTATAAAAGCCATTATTGACAAAATTTCAGACTTGTGAAACTCATAGTCAAGTGCCAAATTATGAAAGACTTTTACCATCTTAATTTCTTTACATGATATCTTAGAATGTAAATATTTTACTACACCAGTTTAACCAAAGTGTGTATGCGCTTGATAAAGCGCAGAATTGTTCATGCATGTACTATACAAAGAGCCAGGTTTTATTGTGTCAGTCAATGGAAAAGTGTTTATTTGGAAAATGTATATTTTTCTATGCATAGGGAATTTTATTTTAGAAAATATCATAGCCTTTTGTTCATGAATACAAAATAAATTGCCCTTATCGTTAACATTTTACCTGAATGTGTAACATTTAACTCTGATAGACTATGCACATAGTTATAATAAATATTTCCACTTAAAAGGGTTTGTTTCGAATAGGTTTCGAATAGGTGGAGGGAGATTAGGTATGAACAGGAGCCAGGCGCTGTGTAGTTTTGTGATAAAAGTAATACACCTTGTATGGAGGTGTGCCTTTAATAAGTCATATGGTAAAACAATAATAAATAACCAGCCTGTGGCTTTAGGAAGCCAGGTTCCAAGATGGACGGCCCGTCCGCTCAGAGGGAAGCAGTGGAGTAGAATGCCAGTCAGTGCAGGGACCACGTTTACCCGATGTCCCAGCGTCCTGGATGATGTCACCACGATGTGGAGAGACGGAGGGGGGGAACTCTTGCTGGAGCCGCAGCTTTAGAAGGAAGATGCCGGTTGCTGGGGGAGATTAGGGAGCCCTCTGAGTAATGTTAGACCAACCTGTGGAGTCTGCTTTGAATATTCCTTTCAATGAAGCTCCTCTGTTATATTTCTTTCCTTAACCACTTCTGTGCCACCCTATAGCAGAAATACTGCTACAGGGCAACACAGGTGCACAAAATCACTTGTATATACGTGATTTTGCAGTTCCAGGTAGGGGCCCCACCGCCATTCGTGGCCACGGTTGTCAATCACCGGGTCCTGGCCAGTGATTCCCCACCAGCAACCAGCAATCTCCGATTATTATAAACAATACAGATCTCTCCCCTGTCAGCTCCTGCACAGCCATACAAAGCAGTGTGCTTATAGTGTAAAGCACACAGTAAAACCGCACACAGTTAATCCTTTGATCGCCCCACATGTTAACGCCTTCCTGCCCAGTGTCATTAGTACAGTGTCAGTGCTTTTTTTTTTTTTTTCTTTAGCACTGATCACTATATTGGTGTCACTGGGGATGTCAGTGACACCAAGTCAGTTCCCCCCAGTTTCAGAATGCCCACCACAGCCCCGCAGTCCTGCTATAAGTCGCTGATCGCCACCATTACTAGTAAAAAAAAAAAAAAAATTTCAGTATATATACCTCCATTTGTAAATGCTATAACTTTCATGCAAACCAATTAATTTACACATCTTGGGAGTTTATTTTTAGCAAAGACAAGTAGCAGAATATATTTTGGCCTAAATTTATGACGAAATTTGCTTTTTTTTTTTTTTTTTTTTTTTTTTTTTTAATTTTTACTGGACATGTTTAATAGCAAAACGTAAAAAATAGTTTGTTTTTTTTTCAAAATTGTCAGTTTTTTTTGTTTATAGCGCAAAAAAATAAAGAATGCAGAGGTGATCAAATACCACCGAAAGAAAGCTTTATTTGAAGAAAAAAAAAAAACGTAAATTTCATTTGGATGCAGCATTGCATGACCGCGCAATTGTCAGTTAAAGTAACGTAGCGCTGTATCGCAAAAAATGGCCTGGTCAGGAAGGGGGGTAATTCCTCAGGAGGGCAAATAGTTAAAGTTCTTTTTACTGCCAGAATTGTGTCTTCTTTCATAATCAAATCTTCTATCTAGAAAGGAATGAGATTGTGGAAAATGTCAGTGTGGTGGAGCTCTGCAGGAAACCAGTCATGTTTAACTATACACGTGAATAGTGTATATTTACATAATTCCCATAAAATATTTTAAATGTATCTGTTGTAAGTTTGGAATTGTCATATGGGTATATCATACTGGTTAACATGGTAGCTATATATATATATATATATATATATATCAATCGATCGATAGATAGCAAGGGCTGCTTCAACTGAATAAAACCGAGCTACGTACCAGATAACAACAGCATTTATAGCACTTATTTTTCTACATTATTTTTAGAAGGCAAATCAAACAAAAATGTTTGATTTGTACAATAAGTGGAGAAATCAACTTTATTCTGATAATAAGCAACAGAAATTTGTATATTTATATAAAGTTTGGCCTTAATGTATGTGTTTGTGGTGGAACCCTAAGATGCCCAACGTGGCAATGCACTACGGTCTCTACTTTTGTATTTTCATCTGCTGAATGTAGCCCTTATCAGTTTCTACATGGAGATCATTTTATAGGGCAGGCTTTATCATTTTAGGAGTAACCTACTGATGCCTATATCAGTAACAAGCAGTGGGTATGCCCTAAGAGTATTAGACATTTACTGCCTATGAGATAGACTTTATGATGTCACTGCCCCTCCTCTCTATTTCATCCAATCCTAGAATGCCTTGTATTTTGGGATGAGGGGATGGGCCATATTTTGCAAATGGCAGCCTAGTGAGCTATCAGTTACAGCAAATGGCAGCATGTGCCATCCTAAACAGCATGACATGCATGCCTGAGAACACATGTCAAGGATTGCCAACACTTGCTGTATGACCTAGTTAAGCACCAGTTCCATGTGGATGCTTGACTTGACATGCTTTGTGGCAACCTCTGGTTTAATTATGGACATAAAAGAGTGGAGTTCTCATTTTGTTTTTATTTTTTTTTTCCATGATAATACAAATGTATACCGTGAATGGTATGTATCCCAGTTTTATTGGTATTCTAGTGAAACGGGTAATTCTGGTCTGCAGAGATGTTCCTTTTTTTGTTAGGCACAGGAATAAAGCTGCTGATGGACTCCTGGTCCTGAACTTCCACCCAGTCCTCTGAGGTGATTCATGTTAGTGCCTCTTGACATTATTCATGTGTTTGTGGATGCTTCTGATGACCTCCAATGTGGGGAATGTCTTCACAAGACACGTTCCTCAAAAATTCACTTTAATCTTTATGGGTTTCAACTTCATTTATTGCCTTTGCTTTGTAAAATGCCGGGAAAAACATGTACACAATCAGATGTTATTTAGAATCAAACTAATGTCTGTCAAGCCTCAACATTCTATTTTTTCTGATCCTGTCCTAGTTGGAGGCTGTCCGCTACATCTTGGGTTTATGCTTTGATAAAAGGAACCAAGATATCAAATACATAGCATGTGCCATGTGCTTTCTTGCTAATATTCCACAACTTATTGATAACTGAATTTTAGAAGCCATAGCTTTATCTTCTGTGCTGCTATGACTGTGCGCTTCATTTATTTTCTTGCTGTCACCATAATTAAATATAATTACCACACCTTTTACACATATTCTCTTACATCATTGTACAACTTACTTATGAAGGGATGGACGCTGCTCAACCTACCTCAGGAGTCCAATGTTAAGGAATGGCCTCATCTGCTGTTCTGGCCACGCCCTTTGATGCTTTCCCCCCGCCCACTTGGGCTTGGTCACAGAGGTCAACTTACTTATAATGTTCATTGTGCTTCAACATCATTGCTACTCCTCCCATTTACAATTATGTTAGTCAAGCTATTCACACTAAGGCTACGCAGCTTGCATTAAAGTGGTTGTAAAGGCTGAAGGTGTTTTACTGTAATGCATTCTATGCATTAAGGTAATAAACCTTCTATTGTCTGCTCCCTCCCTGCCCCCCCCCCCAAATACTTATCTGAGCCCGCTGTTGATCCAGTGTTGTGCTTGAGAGCAGCAGCACTGCTCTGTCTCTCAGTGAGAGCAGTGGGAGTCATTGGTTTCTGATGCTGTCAATCAAATCCAGTGACGTGGGAGTGGGGCCAAGCCATACTGTGTGTCAGCAAACACACAGAACTCGGCTTGGTATTCCTTCCAGTGGTAGAACACAGAGAAGAGGAGGAGCACAGAGTCCCGACAGGGGACCCCAGAAGAGGAGGATCAGGGCTGCTCTGTGCAAAACCATTGCACAGATCAGGTAAGTATGACCTGTTCATTTATTCAGAAAAAAAAAAAAGTTTACAATCGCTTTAAAGATTAGTTTGAGATGCTTCTGAAATAATTTACAGTTTCTTCACCTGTGCATTGGACCTACTCCTGAACTGAACTTTCTATGCTGCACCAACCTGCTTTAAGCCACTTTTGAGTTCCTAATGACTTGCATGGAGAGAATAAGCAGTGCTGATGCAAATACAAGGCCTAATCTGTGTGTTCTCTTAGGCCATTATTGTTATAGTGATGGCAAATATGAGGAATTACAGATTTGACTATAGGCAGATTTAAGCAGTCATTTAGGCACACAATGTATATTAGGATGCCAATCTGTTTTATAGTATTAAAAAAATCTGTTAAAAA